TAATCGAAGGTTTTGTTCAGTGTGATTGAAATCATGGACGAGATAAGAAGTGAATTGTGTAATATAAATAGAGTACTAAAGAAATTAAAAAAAGAAAATTATTTATTAAATAACTTAACAGCTGAAGAAATACAAGTTTTACCAAGACAATACTTGTTGGATCATGTTAGTTATTTAGAGCGATACCGCGCATGGGATAAATTGCCGGAATATTTAAAGGAAGACGAAAAATTCAAACAGGAATATCCCTGCTTTGAACATTATAATAAAGACAAAGTGCAAATTGACGGTCCTGCTCCTCCGAAAAAATATTGCAGAGAATGCAGCTTGTGTATAAATACCAAAATGCTACAACATTAGTAGCATTATAATAATAAAAATAAAATGAGTCCAAATTTAAAAAAAAGTGTAGTTAACGAAATCCATCGACCGGCTAGAAAGAATTACAGACGTCGAAGAGTAATTATTAAACGGTTGTCGGACTTATATCAAAGCGATCTAATCGAATTACGAGATTATGCTAAAGATAATAACAATTACAAATTTATTTTAATAGTGATTGATTGTTTCTCAAAATATGTGTGGATGGAGGCTATTAAAGACAAATCGGCAATGAAGCGAATATTGAAAACTTTAGATTCTATTCCTAAAAATCTACAAACCGATCAGGGAAAAGAGTACTACAACCAACAGTTTAAATCGCTCATGGAAAAATATAAAATTAACCATTATAGTAGTTATAGCGTGAAAAAGGCATCGATTGTTGAACGCGTAATTAGAACTATAAAAGCCAAATTATTTAAAATTCTACATTATCGCGGCAGTTATCGTTGGATAGATGTAATTGATGATGTTACAAATGATTATAATAACACAATACATAGAACAATAAAAATGACACCTGCCACAGCTTTAAAAAAGCAAAATGAAGAATATCTTCTCAATTCAGCACATAATCATATTAAAATGGTAGATGGTCTTCCAAAATTTCATGTAGGCGATATCGTGAGAATAAGTAAAGTCAAACATGTATTTTCCAAATCTTACACTCTCAACTGGACAACCGGACTATTCGAGGTAGTGAAAATTAAATACACTTATCTCTATATGTATTTATTGGAAGACTTGAGTGGTAATCCTGTTAGTGGCGGCTTCTATGCGGGAGTTACAAAAAACTTCGCATCGGGACATATATTTAATAGAAAAAGTATTAAAACGAAAAGAGAAGAAACTTCTAGTTAAATGGTTAGGATTTCCCGAATCACAAACAGCTGGATAAATACGACAGACGTTGTATAGATATAATCAATAATGGATTACATAATAGACGTTCAAGGTTTCGAAACTGAAGGCCCTTGTTTTGTCGCGAAAGAAATTGCTATCGCGTCTTTGCAAGAAGAAGAAGTAAAAACCTTTGTATTGAAACCGCTGTTTCCTCATAATCTATTATCCCCACGATATAAAACCATAAACGAATGGGTAAAACGACATTATCATGGTATTGGTTGGAATGATGGTTATTTGGATTACAATACTTTGCATAATGATGAAATCGAAAGGATGTTTGCGACTGCTGAAACCACCCGAGTAGCAATAAGTACGTATTGCCGGATAAATCGTATGGGCCGGATATGGCATTGTTAGGACAGACCGTTTTACGCCATTTCTTGTTGGGCCTAATCTGGTGCATATACAAATCACCTTATTACGTACTTCCATTTCCGTACCGAATGAAGCACTGCTTTCATACAACCATATTATACTGAGTTCTATTTCTTAAGGATGAGCCTAATTATATTAGGCAGATTTGATTCATGTAGGCTTTTATAATATATGTATATGTACATATATATGACAAAATGCCTATGTATATGTAGTCTTTCCAGCAATATTTTTTCATCCAAACTCAATCTTAAAATAATTATTATATATACATTTATATATAATGTTGTAATTATTTTGNTATATAAATGACTATAGTCATGCAAAAATCACGTCAACAATCGAATATGTAGTTACATTTTGAAAATAATTAGTGATCTTTCAAATTTTTTATAGTTGCCCTTCAAATTCTACTAAAGAAAACGTTTTAAATTATTAATTTACCATTGTTTATTTTTTTATACTAGTTCTAACTCACTTAGGTTATCATAAGAAATAAACATCTTATATTACACGTCAACACTAATATTTAATATTATTACTCCTTCTCCATACCTATTCAATCTTTTCAATATTCCGTTTCACTTTTATTCGTGTACTAGGTACAGTGCCATAAAGATCAACAGCATAACACAGATAATTTTTTTAGATCATTATATACAGTGTGTTCTTCTAAAGTTTCTATTTTATAATAACAATTAATTTCATATTAGTAGTTTTATCTTTTTATTTTTATGTACGCTCCTTTTTTTCTGAAAACATAATGGATGAAATTAATAATAATCGAAAAAAACGAAAACTTGAAGCTACGAGACTTCGTGTACAAAGATATCGTAAACGCCTAAAAGATAATTGTATCCATGTGTCGAATAATAAATTATTACAACCATCTAATGTTTTACCAATACCTTCCACCAGTCAAAATATCAGTGCAAACCTAAATGTTAATGACCTCAATTTAGAACAACAACAATGTGACAGTGATACAACGGAAACAAACGTGAATAATAGCTTTTATGGACTTTTTGAAAACAGTTCATCATCGACATCTACTGATTCTGATATTTGTGATAACATAGTGTTTGAAGAAGGTGAAAATATTGTTGAAAATTCAGATGATGTAGTGGCTGAACCCGGTGAAAACCATAATAATTTAATGGAAAATGTTAATAATGTAATGGTGGAAGAGGATGGTCATAACCAAGAGATAGTAGACAATATTTTTGACAGTAATAGATTTTCGGATATGAGTGATAATGAAAGTGATGATGATTATAACGAAATTGAACGACTTCGACAATGGGCAGCTGAGGGAAATATTCCATTGACAAAAATAAATGAGTTACTGGGAATTTTAAGAGTAAGAGTGTTACCTGATCTTCTAAAAGATGCAAGAACGTTTTTAGGTACATCATCAGCAGGCTATACAATTCAAAGATTTGGTGAATCTTCTCAATTTGTTTACTTTGGTATTAGTGACTATCTTAAACGCATTGTAAATATTCGTTATCATACTGAAGATGAGTTGCAATTGTTGTTTCATTTTGACGGTTTAAGTGTATTCAGATCGTCCTCCAAGCAATTTTGGCCGATTTTATGTTTGATTTATCATAAATCTATTCGATACAAACCATTTCCTGTTGCACTCTACGTTGGTGATAAAAAACCCGATGATATAAATAGTTATTTGGAACAGTTTGTAATTGAAATTAATCAATTACAACTCGATGGAATAGTTATAAACGATAGATTTGTATTCGTTTGAAAGGTTTCATTTGTGACCGACCTGCACGTGCATTAGTGAAGTGTATAAAAAACCATAACGCTTATTTTGCTTGTGAAAGATGCGAAGTAGAAGGTGAAAGAGTCAGCAATCGGACAGTGTATACAAATTTAACTAGTGTCTTACGAACTCACGAATCATTTTGTCAACAAACGGAGCCAGTGCATCACACAGGAATATCACCACTGAAAGATGTGGAGATCTGTGACATGGTAAAAATGTTTGTTTTAGATTTTATGCATCTGGCTTGTTTGGGAATTATGAAAAAGTGTTTCGACGATTTTTGGCTAGATAATCAAGCAGCTACACGATTAAGCAATGCAGGAAAGCGCCTACTATCATTGAATTTATTGGAATTACGATCTCAAGTCCCCATGGAATTTCAACGAACAACAAGAGATCTTAATGAAATAACCAAGTGGAAGGCAACAGAATATAGATTTTTTTTATTATATGCAGGGCCAGCAATTTTAAAATCTTGCTTATCAGAAATCCAATATAAGCATTTTCTTCTTCTACATGTTGCTTGCCGTCTTTTATCATCTGATTTGGCTGTCATAGATAACAACGATGCTAAATATCTTTTAAACCGATACGTTACAATCGCTAAAGAGTTATACGGTAGTAAATGTGTAACATTAAATATGCATTCTCTAATTCATCTAGCAGATGATGCTGTATACTTTCAAGATTCTATATCTAATTTTACAGCATTTCCATTTGAAAATGCATTAGGTACAATCAAGAAACTTTTGAGAAGTGGAAAAAATCCTTTAGCACAAGTATTTCGGCGACTACATGAAAGATATTTAGTTTTTAATGAAAATGCAACTAATCCATCTAGAAGTATTGAAATATTACGCAAGAAACCTACAATTAATAATAAAACAATAATTACAAAATTAAGGTACAAAGATTCTATTTTGACTGCAAATCATCCAAACAATACAGTACTCATCGGTCGCGATACACTTCTACAAATACAAGAAATATTCTTTTTGGCGCCTCAAAACATCATTCAATTGTCAGGCATACAGTTGAGAATATTACGTCCTCTTTTGACATTTCCGTATTCATCGGATAGTCTACAAATGTGGAAAGTATCTAGGAACACAAATAATGTAATTACTCGTTCTTTAAGTGCTGTAAAATCCAAAACATTACATGATGAAAATGACAATTCAGAAAATATTTATACAATGCCGTTACTTCATATGGAAGATTAAAAAAGATTTAGGTTTACGTGTAACGAACTCAGTAATATGAGAAAGAACGATTAGCTATAAGTGCGTGACTAATAGAGTATGTTTTTATTCATGTTTATATTTTGTGTTGTGTTGATACTAAAATGAATCTCAAAAAGAGAAACACATGGTGTAGTGTTAACCTATAGAAATTTTTGTTTACTTATCAGTGTTATTGCCCATGCCTAAGCATGGCATTCGAGAGTTAGTCATAGAGCCCGTTAGACGTCTTAAAAATTGGCTGTTATTTTAAAGTTTTTAGTGAACTATAGTGAAAATTTGTTCCTAATTATTGTAATTAACAAAACATTTTTATTGTGTGTTGTTTTAAACATGCTGGCTGCTAATTCTGCGTATTCCTTAGTGCTCTATGTGGATGACAGAAAAGACATTAATAGCTTGGAAATGATAGATATCGTTCCATCATCATGGTTGACATATGACGACAAAGATGATTGTTTGAAGTGTCCATGCTATAATAAAGGAACAAAAAAGAACATAGACATTTTTACTAATGCTGTTCAAAATCTTCTATCACCTCCAGCTTCATGGAAATTGCACTGCGTGGAAATTCACGGATACGCAAGTAACTTTTTCTTTTTAAATTTACGATATTTCTATGTGTGATAACTATTTTGAATATTTATAAATTGTAAGACTAAAAAATTAATAATTCAATGAATAAGAAATAGTTTTGATGGTTTTTAATCATTAAATTAGTAAATAGCTACGCATTATACAAAAAATCTAGAAAGATAGTATGACGGTAACCCATTTTGTTGAGTTTTCTATTTTTCATCACTAAAATTTTCATTTGATTCGAATGTATGATTAATATAATATTTGTATCAAATTCAATTTATAGATACATATGCCAGTGGTCTAAAAAGATTAGAAACGCTCAAAGTTAAACGTTTCGCGTTTACTACTGACGATGATGCTGATGAAGAGGAAAAGCAGGAAAAGATTGAGAAGCAATACCGTTTAAAAGGTACAAAAGATACAGGAAAAAAAGTTGAGCAACTTTTGTCTGAATGTCAAGAACATTTTGCTGCAAAGGATCCTAGTAAGTGATACTTCTTTAACTTATTTCTTCAGTTTCTCAATATGTTAAATTATACACTCAGCAAAAGAATTGTTTGATCTCAAAAATCAACATTGATATATTTGTGTTCCAACAGTTAATCCTAACGAAACCAAATCAAAAGCTGCCAGTGCACGATCGGCGAAGACTAAAAAAAAAGATAATTTGGATGATGTAATCATTGGTAAGCATTGTTATGCGATTTTTTTCAATTAGCTTTTTACTATAATTATTCCAAGGGATTAAATATTTGTTTTCTTCTTCTTTAGCTATAAATGAATTGCAGACCGTTATGCTCGATCGTTTTAATAAGTTATCATATCAAATTGGAACCCTTCAATCAGAGATATTAAAACAAAAATTAGAGATTGAAGAGATGAAGAAGTCAAAATCGTCACATCTAAATGCACCAGCTGATCCAAGTGGAATGTTTAATATTGAAGGATATGCCACGCCTTTCAAAAACATCCATGATTTTGAGAAGTTTGATAAGAATTTAGGAAAAAGTGTCGAACTGCGCCAAAAAGTTGTAAGTATTATGTTTTTAAAGGCATTATTAAAATATACTAGTAGACAGACAAAAGTAAAAATAATTACAATTAGACAATAAATGTTTACTAAATGAATTCTATATTTTTTCAATTAATCGAACTGCTTTATAGGATAAATAATATCTTAGTTTATTGTAATTTTTAGTGTTTCGTAATTTCAATATTTTGTCTATCTACTGGATGGTTTTTATCTAATGATTTCGTTATCCTTAACAACAATTAAATTAATGTTTCACGCAAAATTCATTAAATACTAAATATTTTAATACTTATTAAGAAATGGTTTTCAACATCTCTGATAATAAGTAATCATCTAAAATATTAACGAATCAATTGACTAATTCTCAAAAAATTATCTTTTTTTTTAGGTTTCTATAATGTACCCTTGTTTGGATTTGGCTGAAAAGCCTTTAAATTCGATAATAAAAATTTCTAAAAAATTTTTTACAAAAGGAGTTTTAGAAAACTATACAGCCGTTAAGCCAAGGCGAAATAAAAAAATATTAAAGAAAACAAAATTTTACTCACTTATATATGGTAAGATTATCAACATTGATGAAAAGTTTTAGTATATTCTGAATTCATATGTCTTACAAACTAATTTTGGACTATCTTGTGGTCAGTGAATTTGCAAAAACAGCAACTAATAAAATAACTGAAAAGGAATTTGAAAAAGGAATGGGAAAAATAATCAACTATGCAAAAGACTGGGATGGAGGTCGTAAAGATCGGTACAATACAGATGAAACAAAAAATAAAGGAAAAACTCCATCAGCTGATGCTACTTCTGCGTCATCTCCTGCGAAAAGCTCTTCTTCTATTTCTGATTCTTTTACAAGATAACTTTTTTGATTTAATGCTTATTTTAAGATACTATTATTCTTTCGATTTCAAAAATAATCTTAAGCAGCTATATCTATTAGGGTTACATAATTAAAACATACAGTTTTTTTTAAGTATACTATATACAAACAATTATTGTCAATTAATTACTGATTGAATCTTAAAAATCTCAAACATAAAGTATATAATTATGTACTAATATTATTTTTCATTAAAAAACCAAATTCATAAATTTGATCCGGCTTAAATTCATAATATGATTACGTCCCAATTTCACTTTTTTTTAATGGGCCTGATTTTATTTCCTTTAACGGTCCATATACGTTGAGGCGTTACATTTTAAATATGGGCCTTATCAAATTTGCCTAAATACGGCCATATTTTAAAATCCGGAATATACATTGGGCCCATATTTCTACCACACTTAAATGCTACTCGGGCATATACGTAATGGGAACGTAATGGGAGCGACGGTGGTTTCTAGAAGAATTTCCAGACTGTCGAAATATAATTAATTTAGAAGAAATGAAAGATTTCCCATCGCTCGTGAAATTATTATCTACGTACTATTATAAATACTTTTCATGTAAAAATCATATAAACTATATTGGTAAAAATGCAGCTTATTGTGTCGAGTAAAATGTTATTGTTTTAAAGTATTGGTTGCACAGTATTATGTAAATATGTATGTACAACATTTCGTATTAAATGCGATCTAATATTTTAATTAATAAGGTTAATAAAATACATTTCAAATGAAATAGCCGTCAGAGTAATACTACTCATTCGGGTATTGTCAACGGTAGAGCAGCAACCCGAGTAGCAAATAAGTACGGCTAACCGGATTATATATAAGGGCCGGATAAGGCAATATTAAGGCTAACCGTTTTAAGGCGTTTTCTATTGGGCCTGATCCGGCATATATGAAAATTTCCATATTATGCATTTTATTTTCAGGTCCGGATATTCATTGCCTTTGGCAACCCGTTTTACGATTTCCCTTCCTTTTAAAAAATGGGCCTAATTTCATCAACCGGAATTAATGCATAATATGAAAAACAATAGTTTTCTGATCCGGGCCTAATATTATAATTTTTATTTTAACCATATTCAATGTTTTTATATTTTAAGTATGTATTTACATATTTCTAAAATAATTTTCTGTATTAAATTAACAAACATTGTTAAAAAAGTAATGATAATTTTCTATCTATTTAAAAAAATATTTTACCATTTTTACTGGTTAAAATATTTATAAATGTAAAAAAAATATGCATGTAGTTTATGTGATAATTCTTTGAAAAGGATTGTTGTTAAAATAAAAACTACAGTATATGTCAGTGGCTAATTTGGGTCACTTGTAAAACATATGTTAGATATCTAACATATTACGCGCTGAGGTTTATGTATACATAAACCTATAGTTAATATATATACAGTTAATATTGACGACTTGTGTTGCTCGAGGAGTCATCCCTCTTTTCTCACATACCTATTCAATCCGTTAAATATTTCTTTTAACTTAACGCAGTACAGCTATCGTTTTTAAAAGGATCACATATTCTTTTCTAATTATTGCTCCGTGTAAATAATTAAATCGAGATTTATATTTTCCCATCAAGTATTTGTATTGTTTTATTTGTACAATATAATGGAGGAAGATAATATTCATCGGAAAAAGTTAAAACTTGAAGCAACACGATTACGTGTACAAAGATATCGTCAACGACAGAAAGCTAGTTCTTACGATGTCTCAGAAAATGAGTCATTCCAAACAGATGATCCTTTACCTTCACCTTCAACCAGTCAAAATACCAATACAGGCTTAAACATTAATGAAATCATTACTAATTTTGAGGTACATGATTCCGATAACAGTTTATCATCAACTGACAGTGAAACATGTGATAATATAGTGTTTGAAGAAACTGAAAGTAATGTAGAAAATTTACATAATATAGTGCTTGATGAAAGTGAAAGGAATCAAGATTTTGTAGATAATATTGATAATGTAATGCTCGAAGGGGATGAAAATGATGAGGACAATATTTTTAATAACAACAGATTTTCTGATGTAAGTGATGACGAAAGTGATGATAATGATAATCATAACGAAATTGAAAAACTACGAAAATGGGCAGCTGAGTCAAATATTCCTTTGATAAAAATCAACGAATTATTAGGAATTTTACGTGTGAGAGTCTTGCCTGACCTTCCAAAGGATGCAAGAACATTTCTAGGTACGTCATCTGCAACTTATACGATTCAGAGGTTTGATACATTGTCTCAGTTTGTTTTTTTTGGTATTACTGATAATCTTACACGTTATGTCAATTTTCTTTATCATATTGAAGAACAATTACAGTTGCTATTTCATTTCGATGGTTTGAGTGTATTTAAGTCTTCTTCAAAACAGTTTTGGCCAATTTTGTGTTTAATTTATCATAAATCGATTAAGTACAAACCATTTCCCGTTGCACTTTATGTTGGTGACAAAAAGCCTGATAATATAAATAGATATTTGGAACAGTTTGTGACTGAGATAAATCAATTGCAGCGTGATGGAATCAATATTAATGGTAGGCCTTATGAGGTTCGTGTGAAAGCTTTTATTTGTGACCGACCTGCACGTGCTTTGGTGAAGTGCATAAAAAATCATAATGCTTATTTTGCCTGTGAAAGATGTGAAGTGAGGGGTGAAAGAGTCGAAAATCGTACTGTGTATACTGAGCTGACCAGTACTTTACGAACTCATGAATCTTTTTGTGAAGAAACTGAGCCGGTGCACCATTCAGGAATATCGCCACTTAAAGATGTAAACAATTGTGATATGATAAAAATGTTCGTACTAGACTTCATGCACCTTGCTTGCTTGGGCATTATGAAAAAGTGTTTTGATGATTTTTGGCTTGATAGTCAAGCAGCTTCAAAATTAAGTAACGCAGGAAAGAACCTACTGTCGTTACAATTACTCCAGCTACAAACACAAGTGCCTACAGAATTCCAACAAACAACAAGGGATTTAAATCAAATAACAAAGTGGACAGCGACAGAGTATCGTTTTTTTTTTGTTATATGCAGGGCCAGCAATCCTAAAATCTTGCTTGACAGAGAATCAGTATCACCATTATCTCCTTTTACATGTTGCTTGTCGTATTTTGTCATCAGATTTGGCTGTAACAGATAATGATAATGCTAAATATCTCTTGAGGCAGTACGTAACAATAGCCAACGAACTGTACGAACAAAACTGTGTTACATTAAACATGCATTCGTTAATCCACCTAGCTGATGATGCTGCATACTTACAAGAATCAATATCATATTTCACCGCATTTCCATTTGAAAATTGTTTGGGCACAATTAAAAAACTTTTAAGAAGTGGGAAAAATCCCTTAGCCCAAGTTTGTCGACGACTACACGAGCGATGTCTAGCTTATTCTGATCATTCGAGTGATCCATTGAGTGACATAGAAGTATTAAGCAAGAAAACCATGAGTAATGGTAAAACAATAATTAAAAAATTAAGATACAAAAATTGTATTTTAACCATAAGTCATCCGAATAATACAGTACTGATGGTCATGATACAGTTTTACAAATTCGAGAAATATTTTCTTTACCACCTCTCCATGCTATTCAAATAGAAGGAAGAAAATTAAGAATATTACGACCTCTTTTAACATATCCATATTCATCCGATAATTTAAAAATGTGGAAAGTATCAAGAACTGAAAATAATATAATCACTCGTTCCTTGAATTCGGTTGTATCAAAAATGGTTACATTTATTATTAATAATGAAAACAACAATACAGAAAACATTTACACAATGCCACTACTTCATATGGAAAATTAAAAAATTGTATGTGTATGTGTAGGATACTAATAGTGAAATGAGAAATACAGAAACTTTTTCTCAGAATATAACGAGTTGAGTACGTTCTCTCATTTGTGTTTATAACTTGTGCGGTAATAAAACAATCTCTAAAGATAAATAGTATTATGGTGTTTAATTTATAGATGTATTTGTTTACGTTTTGAAGTCCATGTGTTTGTGACTAAACCTAATCTTCGATCGTTAAACAGTATACACAAACGCACTTGCGTCGATACAAAGATCAGTTGCTTAAAAGTTTTCGTAGTGAATGTATCGTAGTTTTCTGATGATCGCTAATTAATATATTCTCAAATATTGGAAGTTGATTAAATTATTTATCTATTATAGTTAAGTGAATAGTGAAGAGTTTCTATCAAACATTTTTTAAGAAATGGCTGTAAACACGGCATATACACTAGTGCTGTTTGTAGACGATAAAAAAGACAATGGAGATTTAGAAAGTATTGACATGGTTCCATCGTTTTGGCTGAAGTATGATGAAGAAGACGACTGTTTAAAATGTCCGTGTTACGATAATGTAACCATTAAAAATAAAGAGATTTTTAGTAATGCTGTTCGAAATCTTCAACCACCGCCAACGACATGGTCTTTTCATCGAGTAGAAATCCGGGGATATTCAAGTAAGTTTTCTTTAGATGTGCTGTCCAGTACATAGATATTTTCGGTAGAAATATGTATTTAAATATTAACAGATAATAAAAGTAGTTAGATTTTAAAATGAATGATTTATAAGACAAAGAATACTTTCGATAAATTCTAATTATTTACGTGAAAATCAATTAAAAAGTAAAAATTTATTAAGCAATGACATAGCAATTGAGTGACTGGGTTATTAATATTTTGTTCGATGCACTTCATTCATAGATACATATGCTATTGGTCTCCAAAGGTTGGACAAACTTCAAGTCAAACGCTTTGCTTTCACGACTGATGATACTGATAATGATGAAGAAAAACAAAAAAGTATTGAAAAGCGCTATCGTTTAAAAGGATCAAAAACTTCTGGGAAAAAAGTAGAAAAATTATTGTCCGAGTGTCAAAAACATTTTGTAGAAAAAACAAGTAAGAAAATTGCTCTTGCTTTTTTGTGTTTTTCTCCTAACTTGTTGACATTTTTATTTATGTGACGAAACATACTTTGAATATAATAAAATTGATATCTATATAATTCTTGCTCTTCAATGTGGTCACTTATATATTTTTGTTTTAATAGATGATTCCAATGAAGTCCAATCAAAAGATGTTCAACCAATGAAACCTAAGAATAAAGACAATTTTGCTGAAATTATAGACGGTAAAATTATTTGCATCATAATTATAAGTAATTACTGCAACATCATCGTATAAAGGAATTATATATTTTGTTTTTTTTTTTTTAGGTATTAATAAGATGCAAACGGCTGTTCTGGATCGCTTTAATAAGTTATCGCACCAAGTTGGAACCCTCCAGTCAGAAATACTTAAGATCAAAGCCGAAATACAACAATCCAAAAATTCAATGCCAGCACAACATTCACTAGCTAATCTAGATGGAATTTATCAAATCGAAGGATATGACATAGCTTTTGAGAACTTGAGTGATTTTGAAAAATTTGATAAAGATCTAAAAAATAATGCTGAATTACGGCAAAAATGTGTAAATATCCTCTTGTTTATATGTTTATTTTTTATTTTAAATTTCACATTACAACAAATTAATCATCTAATGTAATGTAATTTAAACTTTTTTTTGTAGATATCTATCATGTATCCATGTTTAAATCTATCAGCAAAACCAATGGAATCAATTTTAAAAATAGCAAAAAAATTTCTCAAGAAGGAAGTTTTAGAATTCTACACAGCCATTAAAGAAAGAAAAGGAAAAAAAATATTTAAAACGACATCCTTCTACTCTTGTCTATATGGTAAGATAAATATTACTGATGAAAATTTTCTACTAATTTCAGACTTCTTATAAAGCAGTTATGTAATTGTTACAGATGTCATTATAAGTGAATTTGCCAAAACTTCATCTCATAAAATCAATGAAAATCAATTTCAAAAAGATATTGGTAAAATGATTAACAACTCTAAAGACTGGGATGGAGGCCGCAAAGATCGTGATTCTAAAGAAAAGCCACAACAAAATGAAGACTCTACACGAAATAAACGAACTATATCGAGCAGTTCATCTTCTGATAAAGAATAATTATTATTAGTATTGAAAATTTCCCTATATTGGAATATTTATTAACGGCGAATTATTTTGAATAATTTTATGTTATGTTATTTGCGATAAGCGATTTATTTTTCCTTTATAAATAAGAAGCTGCACAAGTCTGCTGTTCATTTCCATTTTTTCACTTCTTTTAGACTTGTGTTATGTTTTTGATTATTTGGATTTTAAAATTCCAATAACCTAATATTATATTATATTATAATANTATGTATACATAAACCTATAGTTAATATATATACAGTTAATATTGACGACTTGTGTTGCTCGAGGAGTCATCCCTCTTTTCTCACATACCTATTCAATCCGTTAAATATTTCTTTTAACTTAACGCAGTACAGCTATCGTTTTTAAAAGGATCACATATTCTTTTCTAATTATTGCTCCGTGTAAATAATTAAATCGAGATTTATATTTTCCCATCAAGTATTATTGTAATCAATATATAATATATATTTTTCACTGATGGACAAAACCTGTAAACGTAATCCCGGCTGGATCTACAATCTTATTAGGTTCTAATTTTATTTCATTTAATGGGCCTAAATTTAATTTTATGTATGGACCTGATTACGATTTCTGTTCCGGGCCAGAGATTATTACTTAATACGGCCCATATCTGCCAAGGCGTTACATTTTAGATATGGGCCGTATCAGGTGTTTTTAGATATGGCCGTACTTCAAAATCTGGCGTACACGTTTGGGCCATATTTCACCCATACTCTAAATGCTACTCGGGAAGGTCTCCATATTTCTATTGTCTAATTGTATTGTTCGCATTCTATAGAAATGCCTGTTAAAATTAAGTATGTGTGTCCTAAATGTAAAGGAGAAACCGATGAATTCAACTCAAATTGCATTCCGTGCACTTTTACCAAATATAAGAATATAGAGGGTTATAAACACTGTCCGGCAAACTATTTTATTCGAAAAGGACCCGCAACTAATGACAATTAGTAACGTTATTTAGTATTATTTCATGTTCTAGGTCTAATGGTATTTTCGATATATGAATACACAATAGATTGTATTAGTAATAATAATAAATAATAAAAATTAAAAAAAATGAAATGGACTTTTTGGTTTGTTGTGAAACTTCAAGGGTGATGAATCGTTAAAATACGTTATATTTTAAAAGAAGGTGATCACATGGAGAGTTAATGGATCCGTCTCCCTACACAATCAAATGATGAATTTTCATGGGTTATGAATTATTACTTGTACCTTATTATTGCAATTCTTTCTGTGAAAATTGTATTCCTTATTGCATCTAATTTGTACTCTATCAATAAATTTCGACTTTCTTCATAGCTAGTTGTAGAAAAAATGATATCGTTTTATGGATATCATAATAACTCTACTTAATAAAAGCATATGATTTATTCGCCTTTTTTTTATATATTCCACTATTTGAAACGAATATTTATCTACGCGCTTACACATATGAATAGCTCAATAATAACGCCCTGTGTGTATGTATGTATGTTAGTGTGTAAATACTGCGTTTTACCGACACAAGCTTACTGCACATTAAAGAATATTTTTTTTAATATGTAACATTCATAAGCGATAAGGTAAAAGGAAGTGAGTGTCATCAAACACAATCGGTTACTTGTTAATGTGTTATACGAGAGAAGATTTAAAAGTATTGGTTAGATGGTAAATAACATCATTGATAAATTGCTTGTCCAGTACACTTTTATAACTATAAATACTAGAATTAGCGAATAAAAAATCAATCATTCTCTACTTATCATCATGCAAAAAAAAACAAGAAAACAATTTCATAGTGAGCACTCTGCCCAATTTCTCGGTAAGCTGTTATCTCATTTGATTGTTTATGATTCCAATATTTTTCCCTAAATTATTCATTTTAGACTAATTTCGTGATAATGTCAGCCTGCCAAGCACTGCTAGCAACACCCTGAACCGCCATTCGTACTTTTGGGGTGTTTTAATATGAGTGTTTATTATGCCTTAGGATTAGTTAATTTCAAGTTAATTTGGAAGATTCCTCATCACCTTCCGCCACACTCTATTTCAAATGAAAGTCAAACAATTGTTATAACCTAGTAAGTGTTGTTAAAGTTCCCAAAACAAAAGCATGATACGTATGCAAGATTCGAGTTGTTTGCAAAACAATTAAATGCAACCATCGAAAATAAAATAAGGATTAAATAAATACCTTATTATTGCTTGCCGTACTATTCGTAAATATTAATTCTTTTGCAGATTCCCGAAATAGGCGAGGAGCCAGCAATCCTGAAAGATCCGTCATCGCGGATTCTAAAATTTTTAATGAAAATTTATAGTTTATACTCACACGTATAAAATGCGCTTGGTCGGCTTGGATTTTATTAGCCGGTAATGATTTAAATAAATTATATATGGTTAAATTCATTAAATGTTTTACCATCATCGTGGATTTTAATTTTCCTATTGGTGATTTTGTGCAAAATGTTGTACTTAATTAGAAAAAAATCGGCCGACCAACATTTTTGAGCAAATACAAATAGCTTCAGTAGCATTTTGCCACATAGAGTTTACAAACATAGTGCGTAAAATTTTTTGCATTAATGTTTTCCAACATGGAGGAATATTACTTGAATTGAAATTTATNGTACCTCCACAGAGATAAATATTATTATTATTATATCAGCTCATACATTTTTTAGTTCACTTAACAGTCTACTCTATAGGTCAAACCTATTTTTGTTATTCATTTTGCCATCTTGGGTGTGCAACAATTAAAATAAATAAAGTGTACTAAAGGTTCTTGATAACTGAACCAGATAAATGTGTTAAAATAGTGTTTTTGAAAACTCCACTCGAACATCGTACGTTTTAACAGTACAGTACCGTTGTGTTCATTGTGACGTCATCAATTACGTCTATCCACCGATATGCATCTTTGTAGTGAAGTGCCCTAAATAATTTAGTTTTGATACTAATTACACGCACAACAATTGATGCTTTTTTATTGAATAACTACTATAATGTAAGGTACGAAAAATAAATTATAACTATATAGTATATGAAAACTACACTCCAGTAATAACTGCCTTTCTATATTTGTTTCTTTAAATCTCATATTTAACATCGATAGGCTGGCGACTGGTATCCCATTCGTTTTTATTTGTGTTTGGCTAGTGTGACGAAAGACCAAAGAAGGAACCACATCAAAACATGTGAGGGCGACAGATTGAATATATGATAGTACATAGCCATCTTTTGACAAGTGTAGTGGAGCGATGTGATGCGTTGCATGTGCGTTTATTATGCGTAGATAATATGGGTAACATATTATTGGTTTATTAAGGTGATCACATATAACTGGAATATACGTATAAATTTTTGATGACTATTGAAGTCCGAGTTTCCTGAGTTGCTCCAACTTTCGCGGTGTTTCGGACAGTCTCTAGCTGGGTGACCATACTGATCACATTCGTAACATTTCATATTTGCTAATTTGGTAGACCTGTTTTGACGGTTCGATGAGCCACGCCGGAAACGGTTGCTTGAATTTGTTCGAAAATTTTGGTTGACGCGATTAGCGCTGTTACAGTTTTAATTTTATATTTTATTTCTAACACTCAGTATGGTTCACAAACTTTGAATATAATTTAATTTATTACATTAAAGAAAATACCTACAATTTAAATATGCCTCAAGATAAGGTTACAAGCAATAGGTTTGTAAAATGTCATTCAACTAGTGCCTATCATATAATTGCAGCGTCGGCACAATTACAATAGAGCAAGAAATATGGATCACAACCAAAACTAATAATGAAATAAATTACATCAATTGTACGCACCTTGCAGAAAAGCTAGGTTCATCAGTCTGTCGAGCTCTACCGGGCTTGCATGCTTATACAGGTTGTGATTATACAGCAGCTTTTGTTGGTAAAGGAAAAATTAAAGCCTACAACCTCCTGTTACAAAATGAAGAATACCAAAATATGTTTGAGCATTTGACGAATCCAGAAGACATAAATAATAAACAAATTACAGATTCAATACAAAGGTTTAAAAATGAGATGTATAAAATAATCAGTAATGACGTGAATGCTGCAAGATTTGAATTATTTTTAAAATTTTTTGCAAGTACATGTGACAAAGAAGAATTTTATAAAGGTATAATAAATTTCAATTCAAGTAATATTCCTCCATGTTGGAAAACATTAATGCAAAAAATTTTACGCACTATGTTTGTAAACTCTATGTGGCAAAATGCTACTGAAGCTATTTGTATTTGCTCAAAAATGTTGGTCGGCCGATTTTTTTCTAATTAAGTACAACATTTTTCACAAAATCACCCATAGGAAAATTAAAATCCACGATGATGGTAAAACATTTAATGAATTTAACCATATATAATTTATTTAAATCATTACCGGCTAATAAAATCCAAGCCGACCAAGCGCATTTTATACGTATGAGTATAAACTATAAATTTTCATTAAAAATTTTAGAATCCGCGATGACGGGTCTTTCAGGATTGCTGGCTCCCGGACTAAAACCAAACGGAAGCCACGACAGGGTCCTTCCCGCAGAATATAATCTTAGACGTAGTATTTCTTATGTAGTAGTATAGTTTGTTATTATTAATAAAACATACTAACATACATACATATATGCATACATACATACATACATACATACATACATACATACATACATACATACATACATACATACATACATACATACATACATACATACATACATACATACATACATACATACATACATACATACATACATACATACATACATACATACATACATACATACATACATACATACATACATACATACATACATACATACATACATACATACATACATACATACATACATACATACATACATACATACATACATACATACATACATACATACATACATACATACATACATACATACATACATACATACATACATACATACATACATACATACATACATACATACATACATACATACATACATACATACATACATACATACATACATACATACATACATACATACATACATACATACATACATACATACATACATACATACATACATACATACATACATACATACATACATACATACATACATACATACATACATACATACATACATACATACATACATACATACATACATACATACATACATACATA